TTTGAGTGTATATGTGGTTGTTTGAGTGTATATGTGGTTGTTTGAGTAAATATGTGGGTGTTTGAGTGTATATGTAGTTGCATGAGTTTGTGTACATGTCGGTGTATAAGGAAGTATTCACGTGTGATGTGTGTTTGTGAGTGTACATGTGGTTGCATGAGCGTATGTGTGTACATGTGGATGTGCGAGTGTATATATTTTTTTATATAATACTAAGTGACATGACGAACCAGTCGTGCACCTGGTACCTGGTGGTAAGCGCCTGTCCTTAATGATTGCAGTGCGACTCAGTGGTTTAAATCAAAGATCTGACTGCCACTGCCATTGCACCCGTGACCGTAAGACATAAGTGTATAAGTCCCATGTGCTTGTAATTTCACCAGCACCCTTACCCTTCAAAACCGGGACACAGTAATGCTGACATTACTGCTTGGCGGCAAAAATAGGCAAGGTGACAGTACTACACTGGACGAGCTCCAAGAAGCTCTACTGTTGTGATATACAATGTGGGTTGCATGAGTGTATTTGTGGGTGTACGAGTGTATATGTATGCATATATTAAAGTGTGAGGAAATGTCTGCGACTTGTGAGCGCGTGAGCTGCCCACATAACACTACGATTAAGGGTTGATAATGTTGCGGTCAGGACTGGCCTAGATTTAAGAATGTTTATTACGTCAACGTGCTTGGCAAGTTTCTAGTTAGCAAGTTCTCAGCTAAAGCAGAAGTTAATGCTACACAGTGAGTTCATTATAAATGGATGCACTAATTTTGAAGGAAGGTGTTAATTACAGCGAGACGCTGTCTAAAATTTCCTTCCAATAACTCTACTATGATTGCACGAAAGGAAGAGAAGACCCCCTGTACTTGTTACAAAGTAAGTTGGCTATTTGACAAGTCTTTCTAAGCGTTGCTTTTAGAATGATCGTAGTGCCCTTTTCAACTGCCGCCATTTTAACTTTTCCATCACCACCCCAAATATGGTTATAAAGGTATCAGGTCTGGCATCATATAACCCTAATTCAAGAGCTATCGCTCATTACCAGAGGTCTGAAAATGCACTGGTATATTTTCTAGCTATGCAACGATTTCTGCTTAAAGTGCGGAAGTTCCGCGTGCATTTTCCATCTGTTTCAGTTTTCGCAACTTTTATAACGGAAGTTTATGGACGCCATTGATTTAGCGCGAGTGGATTGCTTGCCTGTGGCAGTCTAGAGTAAAATGCTATTATGAAACAAAAAACCAGTCCTGTTTGGGACAATGCGAGTCCGGATACAAACTCACGCCCTCTGTTTGAGAGGCTATAGGTCAAACCTACCATTAGCATCCTTTTCTACCGAAGTCTACGAAGCTTTATTTTCTCGCACAGGAGTAAATTTTAAAATAAAATACACTTTAAATGTCCTTCCATAGGTAAGGGTATCCTATGACCCCATTTCAGTAATGTTTGAAATAAGTACCTACAACACACAATAATTGATACTTTGATCCAAGAATTAAGCTATTGGAAGATAGCCTACTTATTTTGCTAGGTGGCGCATGATCCGTAGTGCTGGTCGGCTGTCAGATTCACACCTCAAAGTATAACATCTACTACCATTACGTAGAATGTGACGTATTTCTGATAGTCTCCAATAATAAAAGCACATACTCGTACGCTATAAATAAGCCCTTGGTATAATAGTTACATGACGTGATCATATGACAAGTGATAAATTCATTTATGTATGTGAAATTTAATAACACTTTAGCATAAAATGTCGTAGACTAATTTCGTTCGTAGAATCTGTAAACCTCCTGAAAAATTGTCACTTTTAGATGTGGCCTTCTTTGTTTATTATATTTATATTAATTCATGGTGGCACTTCACTTGGCTATTTGCATTGGCGTATTTGACATGTATGGCAAACAATCACCATGTGTAGATAGCACGTGTGACAAAGTATTGGCCTTGTTTGCTTATTTGGCAAATGCAGCACACGCCAAACTCGCGTTACCGCACACTGCCCCAATTGTGCTAATTTTAAATCATTTGAGTTCTATGTCGATAGTGTTAATGGCTGGATTCTGTACGTTTGATATTCTGCTAAGTTACAATAATAATATAATAAAAATAACGCAACATGCTCATGGCCCTGCATGAGGGAAACCCTGTTTCGCGGATGCCATGGACACACACAGACAACCACAAATGACACCCAAACTCGTGAGAGAAATAAATGTAGGCCATACACATCTCCCGGTCTGGGAATCGATCCCAGGACCTCTGCGTGGCAGTCCGGCATGGTAACCGTTCGGCCATAGAGGCAGTTAAGAGTAAGTAGCTTGTCAGTTAATCATAGAGGTACTATTCAACTGCAATTGCAATTTTTTGGTATTCTGCTCTTCAATGGCGAATCGAATATTATATTTAATTTGAAGACTAAACTGCTGTTTAAACGACATAAATATTACGACAAGCATAGTAATTTCCATGGTAGTTTTAGAAAGGCACCATCGATCGTTAGTAATTGTATGAATGAATATGCCATCACTCTCCACCGAGACTCGACTGCAATTGCAACTAAATTTCAACAGAATTGCAAATATCATCATACTTGCAATGTAATCTTGGAATTAAAATGACTAGTGACCCTGGTCGGTTTCTCAACACATGTCAAAGGAGCCAAATAGGCAAATATGCAAGTAAACCGTACACAGTATGGCCATATTCGTTGTTTTATCGTAGGGAATGAGGAAGCGGACCGGCTAGCCATTGCGGCTGCTTCAGAGGGGCCTGAGATTGACATTGTGTCTGACTTCACTGAAGTGGTTGCAAACTATAAGAGCAAGTTCCATTCTCGTTGGAAGGAATATTTCGATCACCATGCAGAGTGAACCACGTGTCCCTTGGTTTGACCATGAAGCAGGGGTCAAATTATCAGCGCGCATAGGCTTCGATCTGGACACGTTTCATTAAACAAATTTTTGTATTTGATGCGGAGGGTGAACTCACCGAATTGCCAAGTGTGTGGGATTCCTGAGGATGTACATCATTTGCTCATGGAGAGTGTTCGGACGGAACGCATCAGGGCGCGGTTATTTGCACAGGCTGGTTTCCGTACATTTAATGTTGGGTGGTTTCAATGTTTTGTCGGTGCTAACATGTAGTGCCGCGGAGATTTTGTATACAGTATGTATACTTGAGGTATCGTTTTTCTAATGGGGCTGACATCTTCAATAACGCTCAAAGCCCCTAAAATAGAGAGAAAAAAAACTCCTTCTTTGACTCCATGTGTAGACGGTCGTATTTGTTAGTGTTTTGTTGTTTGTCTGTCAAATATTAGTCCAAGTACTATAACGAATACAAGCAGCCGTGTGAAGTAACGCCATCAGTTCATTTTACCCAATAGCTTACAAATATTACAATATTAGTACACAAGGCTAAAGCAGGTGATTGGGTGTCCAAGCTAAGAACATGTGGTTTGGGCACCAGGCCTCTACAAGCACGAACAGTCTCAAAATATAAATGGAATATTTGTTGCAGTGAGAGCGCGCAGCCTGGTTCGGGATGGAGCGACGATACTTCCGGCAAAGGAATTACAGACCTCGTCGCGTCTTTAGTGAGTTCAATTTTGTATAACTTTGAATAAACGTAAATTAAATGCACGTATTTTTAACTACTATGCGAACTTCTATAGCAAATTTTTGCCAAACACGGATCGTCTGTTAGGTTATGTTCCCTCAAGCATCCTTTTTTAACTTCATCTGGCTCTTTTAAACTTCGAAACATGCAGGTTTCTGCGTGACGTTCTAACCGTTGATTTACTCGACCGTCGTAACCAGAATTGATATTTTTCGAATCAACATATTTTTGAGCTTAGTTGCTTCGTCTTGCGATAGGTTCAGTCTAAGGCAGATAATTAAGATTGACTGCATGTTTGCAGTTAATGCGTGAAGCAACTTCGTGCGAGACCTCGACTGCATAAAGTTGATAACCATTTCACGCATTAACTGCAAACCTTTTTCATTTTTTTTTATAATATCACGTGACGGGACGAACAAGTCGTGCGCCTGATAATAAGCTGTACGCCTGTCCATAACAGTTGCAGTGACATTAGAGTTTTAAAGATTTGAGGGGCACTGTCACTGCGCTCGTCACCCTAAGATATAAGTCGATAAGTCCCATGTGCCTGTAATTTCACCAAGAAATGGATAAGGTGGCAGTACTTACCCGGACGAGCTCTTTCACAAGGAACTCGACTGCTAGTAAAATGCAGTCAATCTGTTAGCAGCCTAACAATGAGTTAGACGTATTAAAAATGGCACAGTCGTATAACCCCTAATTTCCATCCAGGTGTTTTTACTTATCAGTGATAAGTAACACTTCGAACCCTGATTAATTGTAAGTAAAAATAAGACTATGGTTTCTTGTCTTTTATTTTTAATTATTCCGGGATTTGTGCGAGGTATTATCCGCTTGAAGATCAGCTACATACACTAGACGTATTCCAGTAATTGGCAATGACTGTACAATTGTAAATAGGTGGCTTCCTCGGTACAGTAGGTGCATGTTTCAGAAGGCCCTGGCGATGCCGGCGTCGGCGAACTCTGGTCTCAAGACTGCCATCAAACTAAGACTGCGGTACGACTCCAGTAACAATCAGGTAGTTATTAACTTATTAAAGCTTTATTGGAAAGAATTTTTGAGTTGTTCGATCTTTGTATCTTAACTACTACTAACTTTTTTTTTGTTACGCGGATTACTCCTATTTGTAAACCGGTTTCAATTTTTTTTGTTCGATTATACCCTCTGGTATTTCTGTAGTGGTCCCATTTAAATTTGAATAAAATCATCCACCCGTAATAATGGTAAATTATGGGATGTATTCGTGTTATTAAATTAATCCACTTTCCATTAACCGATTTCTATAAAACTTGGCACATAGACGTAAGAGGACCCCTCACACATTAGCGTCTTTCGAACACCAGCTGACGCGAGTCCGCGTGACAGCGCGACGCCAGCACCGAGCGACTGCGAAATAGTGCCAAACGTCGGATATATACTGCTTTGGCGTTGCGTCGCCGCCGTGCGGACGTCTTGTCGTATGGAAAGATGCTAGTGTGGGGGTCTCTAATTAGCTGATTTGGTGATGGAAACTTGCAGATACATTAGAGGAACTTCTCAACATATACCTTGTGTACCTTGCGCTTGGGCTCAATGACTTGTTTATTGTTGTGACCGCGGTAACGGCCGCATTAGCGAAAGCTGACAAGCAGCAAAATTTTCTCTTCGATAGGTTCGGTTTCGGTTTTTCCTTATAAAAAAAAGTTATATTTTGTTCTGCTTTTGTAGATGGAGTCCCCATGGCCGCCGGATCAATCCGGGCAAGCCACGGGTCGCGAAGACGCTCGCATGTTGGCGCGCAGAGCTTCGTTTTGTATGTACATATTGCTTTGTTTTAACCGCCTTGTTTAAATACTGTCTGACTGCTTGTGGTTGCTTAAAACCGAGTGCTTTCAGGCGGCGTGACTTCAGGCGGGTCAAGTGAGTCCGGGCCAGGGGAGGCCCTCAGCTGGTCGGGCCCGCTGCCGCCACGCTGCGTAGACGCCGGCTTCAGCCCGAAGGTGTTCCTCGGGGGACTGCCTTGGGATATCACTGAGCACGCGCTCATGCACACCCTGAGACACTTCCAGCCTGTGCGGTGAGATACCTTTGCGTTGCTTCTACGTTTGTCATTTAAGGCTCAATTTACATTGCGGCGGAACGGAATGGAAGCGAATTTTTGCAACGGTATTGTACATAGCGTAATGAACTTTATGGTCAATTGTGTAACGTACAAACTAGATAGGAGCCAAAAGTCACGTCGCGCGTTTATCGCGGGATTCACGAGCATTCGCGAGAATTCCGCAGCTGCCATCGGCGACGCCTGGCGAAACCGTGGTAAGTGGCGTGAAGGCAGGCGGTAGTGTGACGTCAAACGTCAACAAAATACTAGTCTCAAGGCGCACTCGCGAGAATGCTCGCAAATGCTCGAGCATTCTAACGGTTTTTAAACTTGACGCTTCCGTTCCATTCCGTTCCGCCGCAATGTAAATTGAGCCTAAAACAGGGTTCGGAGTGATAATTATGATAATCACGATAATTATCTTGATAAGTATACAAATAGATTTACAAAATTGCTACCACTAACAATGTCGCACCATGTATTTATCCAAACAAATCTTTTTCCCTGAGTTTAGTTTAGTTTTCTCATTGTTTCTAATTTTTAGTCCAAAATTAGAGACAAAACTATGAACCAAAAAGTATGATTATTCGATATATTTTCGGTAATGATCAAAGAAAACGTTTTAATAATTTCAAACCCCGATTTAAAATTGTCCAACCCTGATATTGATATTAACAGGGGCCACCCGATTGTCCTATGTCTAAAGGACTAACATTTCTTGTCGTGAAACGTTTCTGATAAATGGATTGCAAAATGTAAAGTACTGAAGTTTTCATCGCGGCAATGTCTCGAAAATTAAGCGAGGCTCGACAATTTTTGGCATTTTCGAGATTCAAGACTGATGTTTTCAGTCTCGGGAATTTCGAGGCTTTTGGGACTTACGTCACATAAATGGTATTAAAAATAATTAACTAAACCAAGTACTACTATAAGTACTCTATAAATAAACAAATTATATAATTTCCCATTTTATAATTGAGTTACTAAACTTCATTAAAATATCATTGACTTAGGAAATGAAACTATTTTTCCGGATTCAAATCGCGTATATTTGTTTTTTCAAAAGAACCGACGTTTCGGGCCCTTCACAGGTTCCATGGTCACGGTTGACTGAGGTGGTACAGTCTTCAACCAGGTTGTCTAATATTGATGCAAACCACCCTATCGGTTTGTTTGAAAAAAACAAATATACGCGATTTAAATCCGAAAAATAGTTTCATTTCCTATGTGTAACAATCGTGGAAACCTAAGAACTCTGTATATCATTGACTATTTCTGAAATAGTCTCGTTGTTTCCCGGGGGTTTGAGATTGCAGCGAGGCTATCCTCTTGCACGTAGATAGAAGGAAATGCTTGTCGTGGAATTTTTACCTTCCCCGAATGCCGCCCGCAGCGTGGAGTGGCCGGGCCCGTCGCCGCGCGGCTGCGCCTACGTCACCTTCGAGAGCGAGCGGCGCGTGCGCGCGCTGCTGGCCGCCTCCCGCCGCGACGGCCACGACTGGTACTACCGCATCACGTCGCGCAAGATGCGCTCCAAGGAGGTTCGTGTCGCGCTTCCCTTCCCCCAACGCGCTGCTGCGGCACGGAATGGAAGCGAGCTTTTGTCAATTGTCTAAGAACTCTATCGGGACTTGAGCAGACTTGAGTATGATTTTCAGTGCTCACTGCAATACTTAAGTCCTGACTTGAGTATTGATTAGAGTTCTGGAATACGACCCTAAAATTAGATATGAGTCAAACGGGTCGCGTGTCTTCTGGAGAATTCTCGCGCAGTGCGTATTGACATAAACTGCCGTCCGCTAACACTAAAACGCGGCTGAGAAAATATTTTTTTGAGATGTCATAAAAAACCATAACCCAGTTTTAGAATATTGAAATTGTTTACAACTTCGTTACACAATTTTGTTTCCATTCCGTTATGATTCCGCTTCCATTCCATTCCGAAGTAACTTTAACTAAGCCTTAATTGTACGATATTAAATAATTTAATAAACGTATGTATATTTAACCTATATATTGGTACCTTTCACGTAGTTGTAAGCCACAAAATACCATGTCTTGGTTTTTAACTTAAATAACTTTTTTAGTAGGTTCCACATTTGAAAGTAAGATAACATCAGGTGACTTCTTACTTTTAATATTAAACGTATCCATTAGTCCCATTGCTGGGGACTGGCCTCTTCTTACAATGCTGCTGAATTGGGCTGTAGTTCCCATGCGGGCCCGATGCGGATTGGGAACTTCACACACATCATTAAATTGCTTAGCAGCTCATGGTAAATTTCATATCCCACGTGAATTCCGGAAAACTTAGAGGTGCAAACCCACGCCCTCTACTTGAGAGGTAATAAGTGTATGGTTTTTAAATGTCTGACAGTAATCATTTTGCGTGTTGTATTGTATTCCATGGTAGGAGAATAACGAGCGATGTATGTATTTAAACACTTTATTGTACAAAATTATTTTTTTTAACAAAGAAATAAAACGTTAGTGTACAAAGCCGAGCTTATCCCATAGATTTTTCCAGCTAACCTTTGAATAATTGAAAGGAAAGTTGGCTTCTGTGTCGGCAATATAATCTAATAAATCATGAAATTGAATGCTACATACTCGATAATTACAAGGATAAATTTATATCAAAATGTACATCAATACACAAGTAAATGATGATGCAGTAATGTCGGCATTACTGTTGTAAGGGTGCTGGTGACACATGGGACTTGTCAACGTATGTCTCAGGTTATCCGGCGCAGTGGCAGTGCCCTTCAGACTTCGCGATTTAAAGCTCTGAGTGGCACTGCAACAACTGCGCACGACGATTAACGTTAACCAGCCCGTGCTCCAGGCGCAGGTGATCCCCTGGGCCGTGAGCGACTCCAACTGGGTGGTGGGCGGGTCGGTGCGGCTGGAGCCGTCGCGTACCGTGTTCGTGGGCGCGCTGCACGGCATGCTCACGGCGCCGGCGCTGGCCACCATCATGAACGACCTCTTCTCTGGCGTCGTCTATGCAGGTAACGAACTATACCGACCTTTACTGCCCTTATCATAACTAACGTAATCGACATAAATGAGATTTACAACCCCCTCTAACCAGTGTTTTAATCTTTAGTTTCAGTTTTATTATTAAGCAAAATCAGAGCAGTTGACTTTTTTAGATGACAATAAAACTTTTGGTGTCAATATCTTGAAAGGTATCGAAATTCTAATGCGTTAATTGCGACAAGGCAGTTTAGTGGTCTGGATGCTTGTCAATGCTTTCCAACCAAAATGGATTTTTCAATTACTTCTGTGCTATACTTTGTGGAACAAGACACGGCTATTGCTACCTTTCAACAATAACGCAGTGTTACAGAATACGATTTAGAATTTTTTCTGTGCATGCGAATCTTGAATTGTATTAAAACGCTCTTGTGTAAGTTTTTTTTAGTGATGGGCGCTTTTTTAAAAAAATTTGGACGTAAATGGATAATTTATAAAAAAAATTTTGATGTAAGATGCAAGGTGCTTCATTGCCATCTTAAGTCAAAAACTTTACGTAGGATGGGTGATTCATTCACGATAAAATTTAGTCTGATTGCTGGTCTCTGTATTCTTAGTTCAAAATCGTAGTACTCTGCAATATTGCATTCGATAAATGCAGCAATATGCTTCTATTTTTCTAAAAACTATCTGTCTGATGATTAATTTTCTTTCCTTTTCACTTTTTTGACTTTTTTAAAACTGAATTGTGAAGATAGGTTGCTACTTAAGAAATCTATTTCGAGAAGTTTCTAAAATAGTCCTAATGGGAATTGAACCCGACCTCAAACGCTCAGTGCTAACTGCGGTCGTCAAAATATTATATTACTTGAATATTAACGACCTCGGACTAAAATTTTTCTGGTCTCGATTTTCTAGGTAGACCCAAACGTATGTTACTCTCCAATCCTATGCTTGTAGTTTATTCTGCCGAATAGAATCCACCTCGGCGATTGAGAAAAAGCTGTAGTCTTTAAATGTTGCAGGCATCGACACAGACAAGAATAAGTATCCAATCGGGTCCGGTCGCGTGACGTTCAATAATGTACGCTCTTACGTGCGCGCCATATCCGCCGGCCACGTCAAGATACGAACCGACAAGTTCTCAAAGAAGGTATAACAAATTTAGACATTTTAGAAAGTACTATTTGCGCAAAGCGTGACTCATAAAATACTTTGAGACTACGAACACAAGACTTTTAAGTGGAAAGTACAACATGCCTCATTATAGTACAAGTTAATAAATAATACGACTATATAACCATTTGTATGGAAAGGGTATTTGGATTTACGTGAGGCTCGAGAGTTGTCAAGACAAAGTGGCGTTCCCTTGGTCCCTTAATGTGGGATTGAGGCGTGAGCTTATGTATGTATAACTATTTGTGTAAGGAGTGTTTCTAAAGAAAGCGTTGCATCTATTTTGGGATGTAAGGAAAAATATTATATTAAAATAAAAACTGTTTAAAAAAATATTTTTTTAGTCCGTATATAGCGTAAATATGAAGTTCTTGGAAATTATGTGATCTGACCATTTGTTTGGAAAACAAATTTTCATTTCTGTTATGAACTTCTTTCCATAGTACTATTAACCAGTACAGAGCACTAGACAAACCGACCTCAAAATTTGATGGAATTAAATTTATTTGCCAAGTTTTACTGAAATCTGGTACCGGAAAGTGCGCAAAAACAGATTCATCCCCTAATTTGCCACCGTAAGAGGTGGAATATTTTCTTCAAATTTAAATGGGTCCGCTACTGAGGTACCCTCTTTTCAACAAAAAAAGAATCGTCCAAATCCGTTCAAACTCTTGGACAATGCCAAATATTCATATTGTATATTGTCTTTATAAAATGAACTTCCTTTTAAGTGATCACTGTAAACTTTTCAACCGGCTTTACACTATAATTTGTTCCATAAAGTTACTATAATTCGCCCACAGTCGCGTCAAAATACGCACTCACTTCTCTATACTTAAGGTTTAAAGAAAACCATTGCCTACATACAGTACATTAGTAAACTCCGACAAAAAATATACTTGGTATTAAAATAACTGTTTCCAGGTTCAAGTCGATCCTTATCTAGAGGACTCCATGTGTTCCGTGTGCAACCTGCATCAGGGCCCGTATTTCTGCCGGGACCCCATTTGCTTTCGGTGAGCTCATTTTTACTCTTAACCGTTTCAGTATAATGGAGAGATAATCCCAGGAGTATTGGACAATTTCTATAACACCTACATTTTACCCATCTTTTCTTGAAGTACTAGGATAAAGTGCAGTCTTGTAAAATAAGTACAGACAGTATACTTGTTGCCTGTGTACTTGAGATTTTTTGTAATTTCCAGCTTTATGCAATTTATATTAAGATCCTGAACTATAAAAGGATCTGCTGTAATTGTGATGAAGTTGAAAGGACTGCTGTACAATGACATCGTGATTGCAGGTACTTCTGCCGAGGTTGCTGGGCGTGGCAGCACCCGAACGACGAGCACAAGCCCCTTATGCGCAGCTCCAAAGCGGCTACGCCCGCGCCTCGTCATTCGCCACCCAGCGACACCGGCAGCATCTACAACGGGGGCTTCAATGCCAATAACGAAGGTACGTTTTTTAATTTAGGGTTAGACCCGACCTCGACGGCACGCATCGACTCCACGTTCTTACTAGATGCTGATATAACACTTCATAGTATCATCAGCTCTTAGGGTTTCTCTGAGAAAAGTTTAAGTAGAGTGATATCGTGACTGGCATCACCAGTACATTTACTCATATTTTGTATGCCCGTAATCCTAGCCCGATATCCATAATTATTAACCTTAGAACTAAGTCCAAACTCATTTAATGTTTTTACAGTAAGATTCCGGAGCGTATATTAAGATTACCATTTCCTAAGTTTAAAACTTACATTAAAAGTATTTTAATTGCAAAGTCATATTAGAAAATTGTAGACTACGTGTTAAATAAGGTGTATGAATAGACAAATGAGTCTAGATTCCACACAAATATTAATTGAAAGCATTTAAGTTTTGAAAAGCGCAATCCCTAGTTTGCTCGTTCTTCTTAGGGAGGTTAGCCTATTGAACGAGCTGTAGCTTAAAAAATTACGTTTCCAAGTGTAAAAATTTTACTCATGGAATAAATGATCGATTTTGTTTTAGCTGAAAAGAGCTGACTTGTATAAAACGTTTTTAGTATAAACGTTGGGCTGATGCGTACTAACAGGTTTCAACCTTAGACCTAATATCTGTAAGGGCTGACCCTCACTTCTCTCTACTAAACAGCACAGATTACCATGATAATAAATTTTCTTTGTGCATTCGTCGGCGTTATAGTAATTATAAAAATATTAAAAATACTTAGTGCTGGTAGTGTTAAGTGCTTCCAAAGTAGTCGTAGGTTCATCCCTAACGCAATGTTACTACTTCAACTGTCTCCCCCATTGTACGCAGAAGCAGACCGCCACGAAAAAACCTCCAATAGATATTCCTGGCCCCGCATTACACAAGATATCTATTATTGAGCAAGTAAGAATTTTACTTTGCTTTGTTAACATACTAGTTTGGCAAATATCTATGACGTCAAAGGTGAATACCACAGACATATATCTAGACGTACGCCGCAAGTGTACGTACTTCGCGTGCCCTAAGTGAAATTCACTTGCCGCTGCTACACTTCAGAACGCGCTCGACCGCTATAGTAGATAAACACCAGTCGAAAACGCGAAAAATGATAATTCTGCCATTATAAACTACAAAAGCACCATAACTGGAGGTAGACTGGTAAACAGGGACAAGGAAACGTCACACGGGCAAGTGATTTTGTAATCACAAGATGCATAATTTATTTTGAAAACAATTATTTTGTTTTGTATGAATTTCGAGAAAACAAACATGCAACCCAGTGTATGCCTCATGATTTGTGATCCTTTGTTAATACGCCATGAATATCGAACGAACGCACTTTTGTATAATGCATCCAGTTTCGTGGTACGGGCGCTTGAATATTCTTTTGACCAAATTTCACATTTAGTGATGTATACATGTATAGGTAGGCAACACTGGGACCACTGGGACCTTACCATGAACTATTATTACGATTCAGTTCAGGACCTAAAATTAATCGTAGTGAGACAGCGCTACATGAAGTGTATATCACCGTCCAGCTTTTTTGTCGTTAAGTATACTGAACTGTAATAACTGTTCATGGTAAGACCCCTGTTTTCGATTCTGATCGATTTTGAAACCAAAGGGACGAAAATTATTATGACCTTAGCAATATTATAAAAATATTCTGACTCTTTTGTTATAACGTTAAGTAACGTTTCGTTTTTTTTTTTCAGTTTTAGAAGTATCTATATCAGTAGTATCTGTAATCTCGATAATTTTTGCAGCACATTGCCGGATATGTATTACAAGTAATACAAAAAAATAAAAAATGCGAAGAGTGTAACAGTGCGCTGTCTTTAAAAAAACCTGGAGTTGGTCATACGTATGAGCTCGTTGCTTTCGAGGACGACGAAGGTGGTCTAGTTTATCCCACCTAAGATCCTATCCAAATATGCAGAGTAGAAGAGTTAGAAAAGAAATCCGAGAAATAATAAACAAATCACAAACTTTACACGAGGGCGACATTAAGTAAACCTCTTCTGATTAGTAAGATTTTACGGTATTTTGTTAGCAGTAACATTTTCAATTGTCTTGCCATTCACCAATTTGATCAATCACCGATGGAAAACAGATGGTTTTCAGTCAATTTAATTAAGGCAGTTGCAAGTTCATATACTGACGTGCGTTTTCATTATTTAAGTCAATCGATAAGATCTTCTATTACAAAAAGACGGTTATATAATAAGCTTATTTTATTTCAATTTTATTAATATTTGAAGTTGATCAAAAATTGAAATTTTAATTAATAAAATTTTTATAAAAACTACTTTCTACTATATTTATTATTTCACGACTACCTGTAATCAACGAATACTTGAATCGATTAATTGATTGGAATACGTGTATTCCGTTCAATCAATCGATTTAGCGCGGAAGGAGGTTTCCCATCCACTAAATAGTTCTTGTGACGTCACGGTGGATACATAAAATGCGGCACGCTCGGTTTTCATACAAATTGCCGTACTTGCGGCGTCTATTTAGATGTCTGTGGTGAATACCCATGTGACTGGTGACGTTGTCGTCAATACTGACGACTGCACTTTAATTGTGGTCACTTGTCTGTTGCTTAAATAATTGCTTCCCGAAGTAATAATTCTGCTGCTGATTGGTGCTGCAACAAATCTATTTAACCAAATCACTTAATTACAGCGACATCATCGCTAAGCGGTGGCAGTGGCACGAGCGGTAGCGGAAGCGCGGCCAACGGCGACTTCGAGCCTGGTGCTGAAGACCCGCCGGACTCCTGGCCACACATGCACTAGTGTTCACGCCCATTGCGAACTACGCGACACGCTATTATTCAATCTATCAGTATTCATCCATACTGTGACGCCTATTATCATTAACTTTTTGGTATAAACTATAAATATTCAGATTCTAGATATACCCAGTTCACTCTAATAGTAAAGACAATTTTTTAATTCGTCAAATTTTAAATGTAAAGCTGGAAGTCACAGTACAGTTATAGTAATAAGCTACTGTCATGGGGTTTTGACTGCATTTTATTGAATTCTCACCCCTCATGGAAGAATGGTGTAAGTGAAGTTACGTCAAAAATGTTTTTCAATTCTTGTAACTCTATCGATTAATATTGTTGATAGTTATAAGAATTGCAGATGTGGGTTATATTTTTCCGTATCCAATTGAGCAATAAACATTTTTGACGTAACTTCAATTCTGCCATTCTCCCATGAGGGGTGCGAATTGGCGACTGCGGTCTTTGCAGTTTTTGGTATCTTGTTCATATTAAATTTGATGTAAATTTAAGTTGTTTTAACTGACTAAAACAAAATTGTTACGAGTTTCTTTGAAAATGGCGTGTCATGTTATGTAGTCGAGCCGCTATTAAGTTTGGCGCTTGGCCAGCATTCGTTTTGTTTAACGTTGATTTTTATATTGTCAAATTATGAATTTTTGTTAGCAGAATTCCATACGAAATGTATGAAGTTTTTTTTTTACAATTGTTTATTATATTCTACTTGTGTAGTTTGCTCTTGTAAATTGATAGTCTGTAGTAACACTATGCGTGACGCATTTAAAATATTTTAAAGCACATAGGACAGCTATGTATTTTATTGTAATTTTTTAATCTATATATTTCGGATAGTACTTATTGAATTTCGGAACTACAAGAGAAATCTATTGGAATATTAACTTGTTCATTAGACCATAATTTAGATAAGTACTATCACAAAAGTTGATTCAATTTTACTGTATAGGCGGTTTTCGATGCCATCTGTATTAGAAGAATGTTTGATAAAACATATTATACGCATTGGCGTAGAAAATGTTCCTTAGACAAATTTATGGGTTGTAATTCACTTGTCAGCATTTATCAGCTTTTATCGGCACCCTTGGTGTTCCCGCAAAAATAAAATGCGTTGAGTTATACTCACACAACTTTATTTCCATTTTATGTGGGAACGGAATTTTGTTGTTTGTAACGTGGGTGCTGATATATTATCTTGGTGATCGGTGCTGACGAGACAGGGTTGACCCTTACTACGTGCCTCGTAGACTAGGTTTTTATCAAGCCTGTTAGCCTTAGGGTGCAATTTTAAAAACATTTTACTAGGCTTTTAAATCATGTGATTTTATAGAATTTTAGAACATTTATAACGTTATGTTGATTTTTAAGAAATTGCTTGTTAATATTGTTCAGCAAATAAATCACTGAGAAATATATTGTATTTTTTTATTGCTATTGGTAAAATTGAATTGAAAATCGCAATTGTGTCGTTTTCAGATAACCTCCAAAAATGTGTCCCTTTCAAAATAATTTGTTATTACATGAATGCTAAACATTATTTAATATGATTGCTTGCTTCCTTAGTCTGTGTTACACATAAAAAGACTACTACGGCACAGTTATAAATAAAAATTTAAAAAGTGGGCAATTTCTCATTCATGGGAGTCCGTTCCACGTCGCCCTAATTTCAAGAAAAGAAAAAAAATTAAACGCTCTTAGAAATCGCAATATTTCCCATCGAGGATAAGCTCTAATAAATTATATGTCGAATACATACCGTAAAAATTATATGTCGAATACATACCGTAACTTTCCAATTTATTATAAACAAACATGTTTTCTTGGGAATACAAAATGTTTATATTTTTCTTATCATTAGTGTCAATTCAACTAAAAGCGTAATAACAAAATTTCATACCGGGTCACCTTTCACCCTTCGCACACGTGAGAAGTGGCTCCTGTCAGATTGGAGTGTATACAGTGAAGTAGCCTGTGCATTCTCCGTTTTAGCAAAAACTCTACTTAAATACCAATTTCAGCGCATGATAATGGTGATCATGATGATGATGTTGATGGTGGTGATGATGATATATTGATGTACAACAAAGTTATATGACATTAACAAAATACTTATTTAGATTTATTTTTTAATTACATATAGATAGATAGATGGTCTTACACGGATGAGAAGGATTTTGATACAAGAAGTTATATTAAAATATTTGTTATATGTTAATGTTCTTTTGTGAACGATAAAATGTGTGTTGTAATAATAATTTCTCATTACTGTGCCGTCTTGTTTATGTTTATGAGAAAATCATTCAAATATAGAATAATATAGAATAGCTACCTGTGATATATAAACGCCTGCCCTTTATATTATGTCAATAAAGCACTAAAAACTTTTGCCTTTTTAGTTAAGTCAGGCACTTTTTCCTAAAATTTGAAGTCGGTTATATTTTTTAAATAATATATGATATACCTTTAATTCGTGAAGTTAGCAAATAGGTAGCAATTATTGGTAATACTTACATACTTCTGAAAAATCTACTCCCTTCATGCTGAACAGAGAGGCGATCAGCCATCCTGACGTCAGAATGGCTGGTCAAAATTTTTTTTAAATTTCTCAGGATATATCAAAGGTAGCAATTATTTAAAAAAGGTCGCAAATAGGTAGCAATTCTTGAATATACACTCAGGGTCGTATTCTAGAACTCTACTCAACGCTCAAGTCAGGATTTGAGTATGGTTTAAATCTCGAAAATCATACTCAAGTCCCTGCCATTAGGGTCGTATTTCCAGTGCTTGAAATCATACTCAGATCCTGACTTGAGCATTAACTAGAGTTTTGGGCAGACTTGAGTATGATTTCAAGCACAGGAAATACGACCCTAATGGCAAGGACTTGAGTATGATTTTCAGTGCTCACTGCAATACTCAAGTCCTGACTTGAGTATTGATTAGAGTTCTAGAATACGACCTTCAGTGCCAGACGCCACAGGCGACCAGCCATTCTGACGGTCACTCTTTATATGGTCCCCGAGAGACCATATTTAAAAAACGTATGAGTAAATAAAACAATTATATATTATTTACCTGCAAACATTAGTAAAAATCACAAGGAAGATTGTTAAAATAAAACAAAAACCACGATTACCAGCCAATTTCGAAAATTTCATATGGGACCACAAATGTTTGGCCCCTTAATTCACACACTATAGAAATGTGAATTAATTAATGAATACATCCTAAAATATAAGGAATGTAGAAAACTTTACTATATCGTCGCCTTACTTTCTCAAGCTCGTATCTTACAAAGAGTTATTATTCAGGAGATGGCAAAACTTTCTATTTATTCCAAATTTCTTATCAAGGGTGTCCACTTCGATGCATTACTTTAAGGCGATTATCAGTCTGCATTGCGCGACGGAGCGCGGGACTGCGTTTTTTAACGTTGTACTGGAGTATCTTAGTTGGTATGGAAAACACGCGCCGTCGAATACACTGCCAACGCCCCCGCGTGGAGGGGCACGGCGAACCGCAGGTTATGGCACACTGCACCGCGCCCCGCAACGGAGCGTGAGACGCGGAATCACGCGCACGGTGGCGGTGACGCAGATATGAGCGCGGTTTAATCTGCGCGGGGGCAGCGGTCTATATAGTGGCCCCGCGTCACTTAAAGTACTCGCTTCGCAGTTGATAGCCGTAGTGATTGTATATGTAGCCGAGATCCTTCTTTGACAAGAATGGTTAATAATACAGAACTCATTCAGGACGCCGCAGTTATACTGACAATTTGGTTTTTGTTTACTCAAATAAAAAGACGCTGAAGATATTGGATATATCCCTTTTTACCAACCAGATCGAAATGGATAATAATTTCAACTTCATTACAAAGATTTAAGAAAATATGAAGATACATTTAGTCGATTTTCAGTAGCAAATATAAATTTATCGACGTCGAGATCTATTGTAGAAAACTGAACATGTGAACTTTTGCTTTTTTTAATTTAATCAGGCACCTAGTGCCTCAAGCAGAGAGTCGTGGGTTGCAACTCTGGCTCGTACCTCTGAGTTTATCGGAATTTGAAATTTACCATAATATTTACGGTGAAGGAAATCATCGTGATGAAACCCGCACACATCTGCAAAGCGACTAAATGATGTGTGTGAAGTTTCCACTCCACACTGGGCCCGTATGAGCTCAAGCTCAGGCATTATGAGAAGTACCCAGCAGTGGGTCGTATATAGCCTGCTTAATGATTTATATAATGCTATGCGTTTATTTATATTCATAGTAGCAAAAAATAAAGCAATATATTGCATATTATGTATTTATTTTAATGAATGAGTAATTTCATAACTATTCTTTTTAGCGCGCCGTTCCTCCCTGTACACTTTTATCATAAATATTTCATTTAAACTGACTCCATGTGTCTTTTTAAGAATAGTAAGTTGTTATACCTGTTCAAGCATCTAGCGTTGTCCTTGTCGCTCCGTGTTCTTGACTATTACATTAAATGTTCTTAACATTTAAGCAAAAGATACAAGTCAACAGGGAATTCTTATTGTGTGGACACCCTACTACATACACGGCTAAGGAAATATTGAGAAGCAATTATCTTGTCTAATGTGCAACCAATCCATTTTAAAAAAAACATGCATATAGTAAAGCTTTTTTACTAAATCTCAATATGTCGAATCTTTCTATATACCTTATATTTTAGGATATATTAATTCATTCGCATTTTTATTGTGTAAACTGAGGGACCACAAATTAATATGAAATTTACGAAATTGGCTGGTAATCGTGGTTTTGTTTAACTTTTACAATCTTAGTTGTGACTTTTAGTAATGTTTGCAGGTAAATAATATATATTTTTTATTTATTTACTCATTTATACGTTTTTTGAATGTGGTCTCTCAGGGACCATATAAAGAGCAGTGTAATTATATATAATCATTGCCAAATTACGTTTTGTTCATTGTGTAAATGTTTAAGGAGGTTTTTACTAAATTTCTGTTAAAGAAACATGCCGCAAACTATTTACTTGCCCAGAAGTGGAAGCTTGGATGTGAGAATTGAGAGACCGCACCTTAGGTGGTATAGTATTTTAATACATTCTTTACAAATTCCAGGATGCGTTTTACAAAATGCTTTACAACTTGTACCAAACCTTCCAGTTATTACAACTGGCAAAAATCATGTGGGCTCTCAGTCCACACACACATATTTAGAAGTTTGGTAAGAGACCCCCCCACACCGTCTTTCGAGCGTCACCGTTTTGCCAACGTACGCACAGCGTCGACATGACGTCCGCGCGACGGTGGCGCAATGCCGACGCGGCGTCTCTGTGTGTGCTGGTGGTCGACTTCCATTCTCC